TCTCCAACTGCTTATCTTGTCCAAGTAAGGGCTAAAATGGTATGTTGGGAATCAGAAGTATCTCACCCAAACTCCTGAAACCCTTAACCACTAGGATCTTGTCCCCCAGACATTGCAGGTCACCACCCACTGCAAACAGGTGGCCTCAATTTTGGGGGCGGGGGACTCTGCAGAGGTGCAGTCAGTGTATTCTGAAACCCCAGCCAACAAGGTGGACAAAAGATCATTAAAATTAACTAATAATTATTAATCTATCAACTAAGCACAAAATTTGTTCATGCTCATAACATTTGACAAAAACAATTGTTGCAATTATAAAATTTCAACAGGATTAAGACCATTTAGTATTGGCGGAGAAGGATCAAGCCCATTTTTAAAAAAATGGACTGCACCATTTTAATATTACAGGGGGGGGGGAGGATACCTGATTGTTTTAATCAGTGTGGAGAGTGGGGACTGATCCAACTATTTCAATGTTGTGAGTAAATGGATCCAACCATTTAATATTAGAAAAATATTAAGCTATTTCAGACCTTGGTGCCTTACTTCTCTTCAAAGTTTGAATCACACACACGCACCTGTAGCTCAGCACCTTTTCCACTTTTCAAGAAATTGTCAAAGCAACCGATGAGGATCATTATCAGTTGCTTTGTCAATTTCTTCATCTTGTACATGATCCGAAATCTTCATTTTAACAGCAAGTGTTTTTGCCGCCATGTTACATAAAGCAACACATTAAGAAGAATGTTATTTTATTTTTTTCCTCATCTTCCCAGATTCACAGAAAATTTTGAAAAGAATAAAATTATTTTGTTTTCCTAAAGTAAAAAGGAGTGACAAGTCAAAAGAACTCACAATTGGTTTTTCAGCCACATACTTGGCACAGTTACGAATTAGACGAATTGCTTCCATGCTTGTGTCAGGAAAGGCAGCATTACATGCAAACTCTGAGAGACATTTCACTGCGTCTTGGAATGAGTCAATGATAGCAGCAAAATGCTTTTCAAAGATACTGGCTGAAAAACATAAAAACCATAGTTGCAATTAATATTGACATTATCCAACAGGACAAACTAATAGATACCTTTTTATTTTATTTTTTATATGATCTTTATTTCAGTCAATAATCTCTAATCACTCAAGTGTATGCTTTCAAACAATTAAGAAACACTTTATCTATGGACATTTACAAACTGATTACCCATTTAAGAAAATTTCAAATATCTTCTGAGTATTGTATGCAAAGTTGAAGAGTTTTGTAGCCAAACTTTTACTCAGACAGCAAAGACTAACAGTACTCTTCACGTAACAATTTACCTGTTTAACAAGCCCCAGTCTTATGCCCAGCTATAAAAACACAAAATAAAAATCCTACCAGTTTTTATTGCACAAAAACCGCAATTCTTTTCTTTCTTCAAAATGAATCAAAGTCAATAAAATCAATGAATAAAGGGAAAAATAAATTAAAATTTACTTGCACTGCAAACCAAAATAATATACAGAATATAGAGTTGATTTCAGATTTGTTTATTAAATTGACTGTTCTGTATATTACTGTAATATATAAACATCTAAAAAGAAATTAGAAAGGTCACAAATGGTGCAAAGGTGACATTAATGATATGTGAAGCTGGTTTCCACAAACCCAATACACATGTAGTATGACTGAAATAGCAATCAGCTCATTTAGCAACCTGGTCGTTACGTGAAGAGTGGCTGTACTTGTACCTAGCCTAATTCTAATAAGTAGGGAGGCTCTTATTTATGTATGCTGTAATCCTGTGTTTAAATAATTTTTTCCATGTCTAATTCCAATCCATGATTTTCATAATGTCAAAAGGATATTCTTTTATTAGTAGGTTTAAGCACAATCCTCACTTTACTAGGTAAAGTGTGATAATATCAATTTTCAGTTTAAATGATATATTAAAAAAATTTTAGAAGCCATTGTAAGTCACTGGTTTTGATACCTTTGCTTAAGAGAGAAATAAAGGCAAAGATTTGTAGCATAATAGAAAATTTGCTGAACAGGATAATCATTCATGAGAGGTGACAAGTAGTTCTGTACATAAGTTGGCTATTTATAGTTTCAAAGAGGAACCATTTTTGATTGATTTTGCTTTCTGTATAAATACAGTAAATTTAAAATATAAAATGTGAACACTTTAAATACTTAAAAAAATGCTGTTATAAGCTAAAATATTAATTTAGATTATAAGAATTAATGCAACACAAAAAAGTATCGTCTTTTAGGGATGTTGACCATAAGAATTATGTAGTGGAGAGTATTTCTTTTGCATCAATAACAACATTGTAAAGAATAGCTTTCCTGTTTGTTGCAGTAGTTGCACATTTCTTGCTGACACTAATACTATTATTTTAAGTGAAATCCAAGTGAAATGTCCCGATATGAATTGTGAGTTGCAAGGATTACCAGCATTCCTCAATCAGATGACAATGTTTCCAACTCCATTTAACCTTGTTCCAGGCCAAGTTAAGTGCAATAAACATTAATATTTTATAATGAAAAATATTACCCTTTGATCTTAAATTTGATAAGTAACTCCATTGTTTTTTTCTTTTACAGATTGCAATAATTTAAAATGTACACCTGTCTGCTAGAGTGGCAAGCTAATCCCTGTTGCAGACACCTGCTCAGACACATTTGTCTTTTTTCAACACCTACATAGTGCACTTCTGGTTTTATACAGCAACTATGCTGAGCAGACCTTAGCTGCAGTTTCTGGCAGGAAGCTCATAATTTGTCATGACCCAGTTTGAATAATGCCAATATGCTCAAATCCTCAGTCACAATGACTTGTGATTTCATGTTAGCACAACTACCAACAGCTTCTGAACAGTTCAGTCCACCTAATTTCACTCACAAGCCTTGGTATGGTTTTTAGGCACTGCACACCGGGTTCACCTCTCAAGACCAATAACATCAAACCGACTATGGTGAAACTTAAACCCAACTCTCATCTTCAAAAAGCAAATGTTCTAACTACTCAGCCAGCCACACACACACTATAGGCCAAAAGTTAGGTGCCCACTCTCTGGATTTACTAATTAGTAAGTTTCATGCCTTCTTTGGTTCAATTAACTCCCACTAACTTTAGATGCTAAAACTATTTGATCCATTAATGCATAGTGCCCAGTTTCTTTTTAAAGAGAGCGGGGGGGTACCTAAAATTTGAAATCTGCCAGCCTAAAGATTACCATTAGACTGTAAGGTAGATTAGGCAAAAAAAAAAAAACAAAAAACAAACTAAGATTTTATGTAAACTTTATGCAGTAATTGGTCAATTTTATTACTATTGAATATAGGATAAAACCCTTCAGCAAGGGGTAATCACTCTGCCCCAAAGTGAGCGAGTAGCTTTAAAAAAAAAAAAAAAAAAAAAACACAACCCTCAATTTTTAGGTGATTCTTCAAAATCCAAACTTTTGAACTCTAGTGTATACATTTAAAGTAAGGGGAAAAAAAATCACTATTTTCTATTAAAAGAATTGTCTGGTTCATGAAAATTTTGTTAAACATTAGGCTTTTTAATTATTAAAACATTTTTTATTTAATGATCTTTCACAAATGCCCAAAGAAAACAATAAGAAAAAAAAAATTAAAAAAGGATTGATCAAACAAAAAAAAACCAAATGACCCTAACTCAAAACTTATTTTGAAATTGCATTTTGACTGGGCTGAGAACTTTTCAGCACACTCTCATAAATGCTTATTCCCTGAATAATAACAAATTGAGAAAATTTAAACAAATTGATCAAATCTATTAATTTGTCAAGTTAAAGTTTTTCAAGACATTTTATACATCACTTTAAACCAGAAAATTAAAAAACTCATTTTTCTATCATTTTCTGCTTCACCCCTCTTATACAATGAAGGTTTTATTAAAAAGGTAGTATTTAGTTACCATTCCACAATAGCAAAATTTGACATGGTCAGTGTTTCATTTATTATGTTTACAGATGTTTTATTTATTTTATTAAAAACAAAAAAAAACAATAACTTTACAAAAAAAAACAAAAACATAATTCCCTCACACAGTTACAAACATCTGGATACATTATTGAACTTATCCCTTTTTCATGCAATGGGGAGGTGCAGTCTGAAGAATGGAACTATAGTTTCCAGTTACAGAGAATTCCAACTTCATTTGAACTAATGTCCTCATCTTTATTCTGTTTCTCACAATGTTTCAGCCATTGCTCCACAGCCTTATTTGGGTGTCTTGACAATCCAGATAATTTTCAGACACCTGAATAAGGCCTGAGAGTACAAAGGCCAAAATGTGTTAGCAACAAAGAGGAGGACATTAGTCTAAATGTAAATGATTCTTCTTTATCTTAAAAATTCAGACAGAAAGCATTCCAATTTGTAATAGGATTATTAGTTTCAACTGAATCCTGTTCTTTTAATGTCCTTTCTCCTCACTTCTCTTTCCCTCTCATTAATCACTGATGTTTTAGGGGCATTATCACCTTACTTGGGGTGAAAAGATTAGAAGAAATAAAGCAAAACCATTTGAATAGAATTGGTTTTTCTTGATTGAATTTCAAAAATGATTTACATTCATATCCTGGATGTTTTTTTTTTTTTTTACTTCTTATTAATGTTTAAATCTACATTTGACTTTTTATTCATGAAATTATTCTTATTCCTTGAGGGAAGATCAAGATCTGGTCAACCAAACAGAGATATAGATATCAACTACATTTCATTTCCATGAAAACAGCCAAAATCTGACATTTTAAGTTATGGAAAAAATAAATAAATTGTTCACCTATATGGTAATAGGAATATTATCTGTTTCCTTATCAGGAAATATTCTTTCTTATATATATATATATATATATATATATATATATATATATATATATATATATATATATATATATATATATATACACAATATATAATTGGTATATACGGAATGAATTCAATAACCAACAATTACTATTCTTAAAAGAGTGCTCAATACAAAAGTAGAGCAGATATAATTTTTTTTTTATAAAAAATAATTTTTTTTATATATATATATATATAATATATATATATATATATATATATATATATCTAGGTAAAATGAGAACAAATGGAGTATAATTCCACTGTCCATAACATTTAATTTAAAAGATGGTTCAATACAGAGTAGTTAAATACTATTTATTTTAGGATATTAAAACAAAAATGTTAAAAATCGCTACACAATTACATTCCAACATTACAAATCTGTATCCTTAGGCAATGTTAAACTACTGGCAAGTCTGGTAGTTTAACATTGCCCAAGGAGACATTTGTAGTGTTGAAACATAACTGTAATTGTGCAGCGATTTTCATGTGTGTGTGTATGTATATATATATATATATATATATATATATATCCACCTGATGAGTGGACAGAGAGATTCCTAAAGGGTCTGTCTACCAAACTCTAGAATTGGAATGCTGAAGGTAACATCTATCCGCTAAGTGCCGAACCTTTTACTTGTATTAATTAATGTAAATTTGAGTTACTTTACAACTGGTTAAATTTAGAAATAAATTCAGTCCTAAAACAATCTTTTTTTTGTTTAAACTGACATTGCTTTACAAGATACCAAATTGCCACTTCATGTTATTACATCCACATAATAATAAATAATAATAAATATGTTTAGTTCTAGATGACTTTGTCAGGACACCTTTTGGCAAATGAAATAAACAGAGCTTATCTTATTCTGAATAATGTTTATTTTTATTTGTTTTGTTAATAATCCCTCCCACACATACAAACACAAAGACATAATTCAAGTGCAGAATGAATACTTACTAATTATCTTGCCAGTGGTCTGAAATGCCAGCTCAACAATGCCTTCATCATGGTCAGAAGCAGCCAAGTGGAACACACTGAAAATATTTTTCCAACCAGATTTGATATTGGCAGCTTGTGAGTTAACCATCTGAGCAATACAACGGACAACCATATCACGGATAGTTGGTGACCTGCACAAACAAAAAAAAATTACAATAATCAATAACAGGCCAAGTGCCAATATCGCATGTATAATTACGCACTCTAGAATTTATAAAATATTTCAACAATTCAACTGTCCATGCAGAAAAGTAAAGAAAGGATCAGAATTTCATGTTTGTCAATTACCATTTGACAGCTAATTATGTTATTTCATTTATTTCCCAACCTTTAGACAATATTAAAAACTTCAATTACTGATAATTTACAGTTAAAATAAAGAAAAGTTATATTATTGCAAAAAGAAAAAAACAAAAATAAACAAAACTGAAGCATAACATTATCATAGAATTGGGAAAAACAAGTAAGTTTGTATATGATAAAAATATATATATATATATATATATATATATATATATATATATATATATATATATGTGTGTGTGGGACACCCTTGGCTAGATACAAAGACAAGCTAAAAGGAACTTGTCAGCAGTCAATATACCACATAACACCCTTGAGTGCTTTGCCTTGGAGCGGGTAGAATGGAGATCATCGTGTTTTAGTGGACTCAGCAATTTTCAATCTGCTTGTCTGAATCATCTTCAAGAAGCAAGAGCAAGAACTAAAAGGTCAGCCAAACTAATAGTGATCTCATCTCACAATCCTCACACTAGCTCCATATGTGGCCTCCTTTGTAAATCACTGGCAGGTCTTAAATGCCACTTAAGATTATCACACAAAATTTCATAACTGAATCAATTAAGCTGTCAGATCCTCTTACATCAAAACCGACGGGAGAGTCCATTATTATATATAGTGTGTGTTAGAAATACCTCCCAGAAATACCCCCGTCTTACCATGTAGTAAAAAACAAAAAAAAAAAACTTATAATAAAAATCCTAATAATTCACCTTACAAAATTTAGCAAATCTTAGCAGTTCAGACCCACAAAAAAAAAAAAAAAAAAAAAAAAAATAATAATCTCAAAAGGATAGTTTTTCACTTGATATTGATATTATTTTAACTACCTTCACTACTCAGAAATGTTTGTTTTAAAAAGTGATCATTAGAATTTTAATAAAACCTAAAACATATGAAAGTGAATCCATACAGTTTCTTTGTTCTTGAGAAAAAAAATAAACACTATTTATTTATTTATTAGATTCTTTATTGAAATGGTTGGCAAAACATCAGCTAATTGCCCAAACAATTCAAACTTTATAAAATGGTAAATAAGGAATTTCTTATAGTTGGTTCATATATATTAATGTTTTCATATTTATTTATAAATTGGCAATTGATAAATATTACATTGCATTAGTTTAATTGTATTAGTTTTTAAGTTTAGAATGTTTTAAAAATTATTCTTGTAAATAAACAATCTAATAAATAATGTTTAATATTTTTGTTGTAAATTCTCCAGAACAAAGTATATAAATTCACTTTCATTATGTGTTTAGGTTTTATTACAATTCTAATAGTCATTTTTTTAAAAATAAACATTGACAAGGAGTGAAGGTAGTTAAAATAATAGCAGTATCAAGGAAAACACATCCTATTGGTACTATGATTTTTTCAGGCACGAAGGTCCAAGATTGCTGAAAATGTTTATGGAAAAAAATCTCCTCAAAGTAATTGATAGATTTTAATTAAATTTTCATTAATTTAATAAAGGACACAATTAAAAAAAAATGCATGAAACAAGTAGCAAATACCATTTTTACCTCATTTCACAAGAGTTGAATATAAAATTTTATTCCCAAAGGAAGAATTGATTGTTACAGTTTCCCATTTTTCATGAAATGTAATATCTGTTTTCATGTCCTAAATATTTTCTACAAGAGAGTTCCATAAAGAATCTTGTAATGGAAAAGTTCAGTTTTTAAAAGTAATATCTTCTCATATGAAAAATATGTAACTGACCGATTTTTCTTCATGATATGTTCAAATGGGCGTAAGAAGTCTTTCTGAAATCGGAAATTGGCAAATTCTCCTTTTTCCAAAAATTTCATTGACAATTGACGGAGGGAATCAACAGCAAAAAATGAAATGTCTTCATTTGGATTACAACCAACCTGGAAAGAAAGAAAGAAAAAAAAAAATCAAATTCTGTTTACCAATGAAAGCTAAAATTAAATACAAAAGAATTCTTTCTTACATCAGGTTTTTTCATTTAGTCTTTGTTTCTTCAGCCTGACTTAGACAGGACGAAAGAAAATTAATTTCTACTCATTTAGTTTTGTTTTAGAAAGTGTGTCAGACAGACAATTTTTCAGTACTCACTTAGATAAAGGTTTTGCCTTGAAAACTTATATAAACCTTTCTTTTTTCTTATGTTTGTATTGTCATATTCAGAGAATGAAAATGAGTTAAGATAATCAATTTGTTTTTGCTTAAAAAAACAATCAATAAAGTGCAAAAATGTTCTAATGTTATTAACCAAATGATTTTACAAACACGATAAAAAAGCAAAAACTTCTATAGGAGAGTGTAGAAAAGTTCTCTGCCCAACTCACTTACCAAAATATAACCAAATGACCAGACATTTCTTTTAGCCCTTCTAAGCCAAACTGAGAAATTTCAGTATCTCCTTGTATATACAAGATGCTATCTCAAAATTTACAGTGTTCAAACAGTAAATGTAAACAGTATAGATTTTTGACATTATTGTTAGCAACATGATCTGTGACATTATAGGCATAACATCTTGCAACGTTGGGCTAAACTACCCCGAGCACAGCCTATTCTATGTTCAGTTTCCTTTTTTTCAGGGATTTATATACCATCAAAAATGGTAGATTTTACTATTTTTGTTCAGCAGTGAGATTATCTGGAACCCAAATCTTAGACATGTGTCTCTATTGCAAACAAAACTGTCCTTATGTCGATTTCAATATACACTACAGGCAAAAAGTTTGAGGAAACCCTGCATTTCTTAAAAAAAAAAAAAAATCTCTCATTGTAAGGTGTTAAAGTAAAAAGGTAAAATTTAAGTAATGACAGTGCATTTGCTTTTATTTTGACAAAAAAAAGTACTTAACTATATAAAATGATCACACAACAACATAATATTTTTGACAATAAAACTATCACCTGCCTTAATCACTGCTTTACAAATTCTTGGTATGATTTCCAACAGTTTAAAGAAAAAATAGTAGATGGCAGACCTTCCCAAACATTCTTAAAGCACTGAAAAAGCTCACTCTCACTCTTTGGGTATTCTCTTTGAACTTTCCTTTGCAACGCATCCTATACTAATTTAATGGGAGAGAGGTAAAGGGGATTAAAGTGGTCAAGTCGTTATTTCTAAAGTTTTTTGTTTTTTTTTTTTTTTTTTTTTGAATCAAGGTAATTTTGACATAATTCAGAAGAATATTTTTGACCGTTGTCTTGTTGAAAGGTGATTTTTTTCCCCAATTATGCTTAAACCAGATGGTATAGCATGTCTTTACAAAATCAAATGATATTGTTCTTTTTCCATGATTCCTTTGACCTAAATCAAATCTTCAGCTCTTTTGGTTATCTTAAAAAAAAAAATTACTGAGGAATAAATGATGAAAACAAAATATAATGTTCCTAATATAAAATATTCATAATTTAGCAAAATGTATTATGGACAGGTGAATCCAAAATTGAACTTTTTGGTAGCAATAGGAGCCTAGAGAAAGAGTTAAAAATAAAAACAAATACACTGTAGTTAATGAAATTTTATCTTTTACTTAAAAAAAAAAAAAAATCTCATTTTAAGGTGTTTTTAAAGAAAGGCAGGGTGGCTGTAAATTTTTTGCCTGTAGTGTAAGATACACTAATATACTGTATAAAAGTGTTTCTATCTAGAAATACAAAAACATTTAATATGACACAGCTGAGAGATTCTTTATAAAAGGATCAAGTCAGAGTGAGAGAATTGAGAGGATAAGTTGCAGTGAATAGATGTCCCAAAATTGCCTATGTTAACCATAGGTCTTGCAAGTTAACATATACAATTCTTTTTTTTTTAAGAGGAAAATAGAGGAAACTTACTTTGTTAAAATGGTCACCTAGATATTGCCATATTCGAGACCACTGCAATCTGATACGGCCCATATTGTAGTAAGAGATCTCCACAATTTTTTGTAAACTGAACATTCGTGGATGACTGGGATTGGCCAATTCGTCAAGAGAAACTTGACACAAGGCCTTCACAAATTCAACTGTGAAAAAAAAAAGAAAATTTATTTTTCAGTGCATTATCATTACTGTTAATTGGCAAGATTCAAACATTCAGACATTTCTTTAATTTTGGAATGCTCAGTGCCTCTACATTTTATGTTTTGTTTGTCTTCACTAACAAAAAAAAACAAAAAAAAAAAAAAAACTATCACTGTTCTTGAATCAATTCTTAGCTGATTGTAATATTCCTTCACAACAGGTTTTCTGTCACCCTCTAGTGGGAGGAGAGGTGATCTGTTGCATAAGAGTTGATTATCACTTGAATTGGCACTGACCAGAAGAATAGGCATTCAATTTTTAGCCAAAATATCAAGCAGTAAATTTACCAGTCCAAAATATAAGATAACTGATCCTTTAAACAATTTGAAACTTTTTTTCCCTATGCAATAAGGTCAATTATAATTCCCCACTCATCTTTATTTTGATAGCATATAATTCAACTTATACTAAGTTAATACCTATCCCTAAGTAATCACACAACACAGGTACTAAATGGAGAAGATTGCACCAACCCCAAACTCTTAAATGTAGCTCCTGTCCAATTAATATTACTTCTCTGATATTATTAAAACCAATGAGAGTAGGGGATGCTGATGCACCCACCCCAGCAGCAACATGTCACCCCCACCACATTCTCCCAGTGGGGTCTTTTAATCCTTATATATTAGCAGGTTTATGTCAGTACCTGAGGGTCTCAGACCAGTACAATGTTTCTGACCCAAGGATAAGTTCTGTTGCCTTGATTACTGGGTAGACAAGTCATGTATACTTGACGTATCACATCTGTGACTTCTTTCTTGGATTATTTGTCCTTTCATGCTGGAGGTAAACGTTTTTTGGTTATCTGCCTGATAGGGATCTGAACCTTCTAGTAACTTCAAAGAATACTATCCTATCAGCAGTTGTATAATATCAAGGTAATTGTACTGCCATTTTGTGAATGGGTTCTCGACCATTCAGTAGTCTCCAGTGGGGCTGCTCAATACCATGATGAAGAGTTTTGTTATGGCTGTATCTCCGGATGCTTCAACCCAAGTTATAGACTGGATCACTACCTAGCCTTCAACCATACACACTGTTATCTATGCAGGAACACAACTGAACAAAAAGATCAAATCCAACCTCACAAAAATAAAAATAGACTCCAGATTCACCATCTCCTACACCAGTGTAACAGGGCTACATTGTAAGAGGTGGAACGCAATCTTCTTGATGCCAAACCTTACCTCCTATTCCTGTGACAAATTATGAATTGAACTGATTTTATGTCAAACCAATTGTCACCTTAAAATTGAAAGAAAGCTTAATTTAATATCTTGACAAATACATTTAGAACAATTACATTCTTGTATATGTCATGTTCTTTCAGGGCATTAGCCGTTGTGGCTCTTCACAATTTCCTGTCCTTTGTAACTCTTAATAAATTTTGTTATCTCTCCTAAACCTTGTTCTATCATCTATTTACTCAGGCTCACTAAGTAGGTGATGCACTGTTTTTCTCTGTCCTTCTTGGTTTCAATGTCCTGTGAGTATCAAATTTTCCAAACCCTCTTTCCTCATTATATGACCAAGAAATTTCAACTCTTCTTGAAATTAAGTTTAAGTGCCTTTTTTGTTTACATTTTCTCTAAAACTTTGTCATTGCTTAAATGTTCATTTCATGGTATCCTCAGCATCATTCTGTAGAACCACATTTCATTGAGATTGTCCAGCATTCACTGCAACAGTACAGTATTCTTTTCTAAAATTAATAATGAATAAAAATGTAATTTTGTCAACTGTAACAAAATTAGATCTCATGGCAGCATATTGAGGAGGGGGAGGAGGAGAGAAAAAAAGAACAAAAAACAACACTCACCAATAGCATCACCATCCAAACGTACAGATCCTGTGAATATTCTGTCTACTGCTACCACAACACTCTGAGAACTTGTCTCGCCCATTGTTTCTTGAATACTTGCCAGACGTTTTTGGTCAAGAGCGCCACCAGAAATCATGCCTTTGGAGAGAAAAAAAAAACAACAACAAAAAAGATTAATTTTAAAATGTAAAGGAAACATGAATTATTTTATGACATAATAGAGCAAATGTACTTGCATATTTTATAAATTTATTTTTAAATATCTAACTTTTATTGTCTCTAGTGTAAGGGAAATAACCAAGTTATCTTTGCACTGTTAATGCCAAATGGCAATGTCTTTGCTATGATAATAGTGAAGTACTTAAAGATATGAAATTGACAGAGTAAAAGATTTTTATTAAAGAGCATAGTACAACACTAGTAGCTGAACAAAAAAATCTTAAGATTTACATCTGAAAAACCTAAGGATACAAGTAAAATCTTAAATATTCCCTCATTTTTGATAGCATAAAATAGTCAATACATAATTTCAAATTTACTATTTGGTTCACTATTTGACAGAATCTAATTGTAAACCCAAATTGTCATAAACAAGAAAATCAAATACACAAGTAATATGGAATTTGTATTTCTGTGAGAACTATATATAGAGAGATGGGAGAGGGAGAGAGATGGGAGAGATGGGAGAGGGAGAGAGATGGGAGAGATGGGAGAGGGAGAGAGATGGGAGAGATGGGAGATGGGAGATGGGAGATGGGAGAGATGGGAGAGGGTGGGAGATGGGAGATGGGGAGAGAGATGGGAGATGGGAGATGATGGAGAGATGGGAGAGATGGGGGAGATGGGGAGAGAGATGGGAGAGGGGGGAGAGATGGGAGAGGGGGAGAGATGGAGATGGGAGAGAGATGGGAGAGGGGAGGAGATGGGAGTGAGAGAGAGGGGAGAAGGGAGAGGGGGAGAAGGGAGAGAGGGGAGAAGGGAGAGAGGGGAGAAGGGGAGAGAGGGGGAAGGAGAGGGGGGAAGGGAGGGGAGAAGGGAGAGAGAGGGGAGGGGAGAGAGGGGGGAGAGGGAGAGAGGAGGGGGAGAGGTGGAGAGGAGGGAGAGAGAGAGGAAGGGAGAGAGCGGCTGCAAAGGCATATACAGTACATATATTATTATTGGTTTATACACACTCAGTACATTTTGCACACTTGTTTTGTTATAGTATACTTTTGCATCCACCCCTGTACACACAATATCACAATATAGTCAAAATACAACCATCATTGTTTCATTTGAACTGCAGTACTTACTGTTGGGGTCAAAGTTATCAATAGGATGAACACTACCAAACTGAGACTTATCATTGGCCCCACCAGCACCACCCCCGGTGCCACTTCCTCGGCTTTCACCTGATGAAATGTACCGAGGCTTTACTCCTGTTCCAATCAACTGGGCTAATTCAAGTTGAGAAATACACCGAAGAATCTATAAAAGAAAACAAACAAATATATAATTTTAATATAATCAAATTTTTAATTTGTTTAAATTTGTTTTAATTGATGATACTTTTTTTTTGTTCTTACAAAAGCACTAATATTTTTTGTATAAAGAACATGATTTTCTCTTATGTCATTATCTCCATAGCTTAAACAGTATTTTCATTTTGTATTTATATTACTACTGTAAGTGATTCAAAGACAACAATTTCTAATTGTACAGAATTAGTACAGGATTTTTCTTTTTTAGTTTTTTTTATCTTTTAAATATAAATCTACAAAAGACTAAGACCAATTTAAATGCAGTGACAAAAAAGTTTGATAATATGAGAATTATTTTACTTACCTCCAACCAAGACTTGCCTAAATAATTACCATCTGTGTGTGCCACTGAGATAAGAGTCTTGATGGTATCAATATTTTTTGTCTTCATTTCTGTGATGGGAGAGGCAGCAGTGAGAAGTGTAAAACGAGCCAAAGCCTGGACGTAAGCATCTCGTTCCAACTGTTGTTGACAAAAATAAAGAAGACTTAATTATACTTATTGTTAAAATTATCAACTTCAAATAACCAAGTAATTATAAATCATAGAGATTAGATAGAAAATAACAGATTCTGGGATTGTATCACATTGTAATAAAAAATAATGACTTATCACAATGAGAAATCAAATACAGATATAATAGAAAAATTTAATTTCAGACCAAATTAGCTTTTGTCTTGATTAAATCATTAAAAGAAATTTCACACAATTTATTACTCTATAAAAGAGATCTCCATTAAATCTGAAAATGAACTACCACCAGTCATGCTGAATGGCTGTCCTCTTGGGAGGAGACTGTCTTGAAAGACACACATGACCTCAAGCAGAACTCATACATAGAATCCATTGCTAAGATGTAGGTTTAATTGTCAGCTTCTTGTACTGCTCCAGTAAGTACCAAACTCCTCATGCTATCCTCTACCTTTACAAAAGCCAGCTCTGGCCAAAAATGGAGTACTGTTGTCATATTTGAGCAGGAGCTGTCCAGACCTAACTCTTCAGCCTTGATAGAGTCCAAAAGCATTTCCAAGCCCTTGAGTGTGACAAATTATTCTCCACCCTCCAACCTCATAGGTGGGATGTGGCAAGCCTCTCACTGCTCTATTGCTACTTCCACAAAAAGTGCTCAGACGAACTACATTCCCTGGTTCTACCAGTTGAAACCTTCATGGCAAAGACACACCATGCTACTTCCATAGTAGTAAACCACCCACATTACCTCTGTATTCCATCAGTGAGAAGTAGGTACCACTTAAACAGCTTCTTCCCATGAAACACTGCTCTATGGAACAGACTCCCAAGAGGATGTTTTCCCAAATATTACAATCGATACCAGTTCAAGTCTAGGGTTAACTGTTATCTTCTCCTCCTATCCATACAAATTGCCTCTAACATAACCCTCTACTTTGAGTACCCCCCAGGATTTGTACAGGGTGAATCTTACTGTAAAAAAAAAAAAAAAATCTCCTCTGTTCTTAGATTTTTTTTTAGTTTTATCAGGGGCCCAAGACTAGAGGTTCCTTGGGTGCATCTATAGTCTTGCGACACCTAAGCTGCAGCCATATATAAAATCCAGCAATGGTTATATGTCAACTTATACAAAAATAAATAAAAATAAGTAAAAATAAAAATCAGTTATTCAAGGTGGGTATTTTGCATGCACAGCTAGTATAATTTATTGGTATAAAAATGGAATCAACAAGCAAAGTTTAAATTCTAGTTGAATCTATTGTATTCATTTTTCACTTGGAAAAGGCAAGACTTCATCTCTTACAAAAAAAAAAATACTTCCACCATGGTTAAATAGAGTAGACTGGGTTTTCTTAGATGGCAGCCAATCTTCAAGTGAAGGAAAATTCTGAACACACAATTGTGGAAAAAGCAATGAGAAACCATTTCACTGTCCTCTCCAAAAAATCAGGGTAATTGACACATTAAAGAAAAATGAACCTGAACAGAGCCATTATCACCTACATCCTAAAAAGATAGTACATTAAAAGACATACAAAAATACAAATGAAAAAAGAGAGGACATTTCAGTATACCTTCCCCTCAATACAATCAACACTTTTCTTCAGGATTACCATATGGCCAGTGCCAGATTTATCAATAGGTTTAGGAGGCTGAAGCCTAAAGCCTCATAATCTAGACAGCCTCCAGCCAAGGTGTATAATATTTTTAACACTGTCATTGGCCTTTCTTACATATGTTGTCATAACACATTATAGACTCTAAATAACCCTTCAATAATGTCATCATCCTCAGCTCTACTCAAATTTTTTAATTTAACACTTACATTTTCCTCTAGTCATGAGAATAGGGGGTTTGGAGGGGGGGGGCTCACAAGTGGAATAGCCTAGGGAATCTCTTCATCTAAATCCAGCCCTGCTATATTGAATAGCATATCAACACCCACATCCCACTAAACTGAGTACAAAATCTGTCAGTCTAGAGCAATGTTTCTCAACCGGTGTTCCCCAGAACCCTAGTGTTAGGGGTTCCGTGAGAAATAGTGATAAATAGGCTGATGTATTTTTGAGTAATTTTTGTTCAATTTTATATTCATAATTTTACTACATGCATAAACTACAATAAAAATGTAAAAGAGCTAGATATTAAAATGGTATATAAAAATATAGGGTGTCCATAAAGTTCGTGTGCACTTTAAAAAACTTATAACTTTATTTGTATTTGTGATAGAAATAATTTGTAAAAAGGATTAGAAAGAAGTAAATCTACATTTTTTTAAGGTTTTATTGAAATTTTATTTAAGTTTCCACATGTCCTCCATCATTAGCAATACAAAGGGTAATACGATTTTGCAATTCACGGAAAACATTTGCCAACTGATTTACAGTAATGCCTGAAATCACATTAGTTATTTTAGCTATACTTAAAACTAGGTACATTAAACTTTATAACATTTTTTACAGATTATTTCTATCGCAAGTACAAATAAAGTTATAAATTTTTTAAAGTGCACACAAACTTTATGGACACCCTGTATTTATGCAGTGATTCTGAGGCATGAAAATTATTTTGCAAGGGTATAAAGGTTGAGAAATGCTGGTCTAGAGTATTTGAGTAGATACTTCAACTTTGCGTATAAGTATAAGACCCAGGAGTTATTTTTTGAGACCTAAATGGGGAGTGGGTCTCATACCATCAAATAGAATATTTCTTTATTTTCAATATAACTATCAACCAGAGTTACATGGGTAGTAGGAAATTGTTTTATTGTTTTAAGCTAAAGAATTTCCTTAAACAAAGTTTTTAACACTCGTCTTGCCTAACATCATTATTTAATAACATCTTAGATGAATTTTTAAATCTGAATTCAGTTTAATTTTCCAGAAATATTTTAATAATCACAAAAAAATACAAAATCAATTGGATATTAATCTACCGTTCTGTGTATTTGTGCATTTTAGAATTGAAGATGCTTTAAAAGAATAATTAGCGGTTAAAATAACAGTACAACTGAAATTATAAACAGACTTTAGATAAATCATTGGTAAGTGAATAAAAATAAAATAAAAAAAAAAAAGTATTTTGTCTAAAACCATTTAACCTGCCTAAATAATGGACATACGGATTTTTTTCAGCATCATATTATAATTTTGCTTGTCATTCCCAGAGCACAACCGTTACACCCTGCCAATACCTCATAAATAATGGACTATTCCATTGTGATCATGTGGAAAGAAAGAAAGAAAAGACATAAGAGACATTACTTTGTCTCAGTGAGAGAAAGAAAGATAGAAGAGACAATTACACATGTTTAACAGTTGTTTCAGTGAAAGGGAAAAATTGTTGATTTCACATCTTTTCATTTGTACCCACTTCTTAAAATAATGACCAACATTCATATTTATGATTTTTATTGCTATATTTTATTAAAGTTGTTAAACTCAAATATTTAATGATGCGATAGGGCAATATGTACAGATATTTTATTGTCATAAAACATGCCATGAGCCTATTCAATTCTTAACTTAAGAATTAAGATTCATCAAAAAATTAAAATAGGAAAACTGAGGAAATTTTCATGGGCATTTCTAGTTAATAAAATTTTGTCATCTCAATGGACAATGTTAATTTGCAGTTAGACAAATACTGTACAAAGGTCATAAGTCACCAAATATTGATTTGAAATTTGGACTTTATAATGTTTAACTTACAATCAACATTTATTAAGTGCATAGCCAAGGAAAGAGATTACGTTAAAAATAAATATTTATTGTGTAAAATAAAAACTTTGTTTATCATGTGGCTACAGACTTACTAATATAGCTAAATATGCCCATTGCCCAATTATTTGAATAACTGACCAAAGGGACGTAATTCATAACTACATTTCTCAAAAACAATGACCCATCTTGAAAATCTAATATATTTTTTTATATGAATGAATGAAACAAGAAAAAAGCTTTACAAACCTCCATGTGGAATATGCAAGTGATTCTGATTGCACAACGAATGCCATCCAGACAAAGTGAGGCCACTTCAGTGTCATCACAATCCTGAAGGCCAACACTGAAGGCAGCTAAAAATGGTGTCCAAGCAATCTGTACAATAAATACAATAGTCAAATTAAGTACAAGTAAATAGTAAAGAAATTTCACTTCCAGAAATAAAAATAAAATTTAATTTCAAAAGAGAAATGGAAAAAAAAAAACATACATGCAACTTATTTTTTTAAATTAGTAATCATATTACTAATAATTGTACATTATCAAAAAGATTTTTTATTAGATAAAGCATTTTTAACTAGTATTAATTTTTTACTTATTCTTTCTAATAAAATTTTAGTTCCTGATGACTGTAGAGTAATGGTCTCAATGCCTACCTCCCTACCTATATAATCCATCTTAGTCAAAATTAGAAGAGTCCACAAACTCATTATACAGTTAATCATGAGCTCCATAATCTTTACCCTGGCTGTAGAGTAGATATGCTTCACCAGAATTCCATATGGTCTTGCAGTCAGACTGGTTGCCAATCATGGCTAGAGAGCCCAGTCTATTCTGTTATTCAATTCATAGCTACATGGAGAAGAGAAGCTTCATACCTTTCCCAAGGGTATTTGTGTAAAAGTGAATATAAGGAAAGCAACCAGAATTCAAACTTGGATTACCAGTTTCTTACTCTGAGCTATTAAACTACTTGCACATAATGGTCTCCATAGTGTATGTTGAAACGCAAAAAAAAAAACACTAAGATGAAAGAGACAGTAGTTAAATAAATAATGGCTGAAAATGTTTCCTCTAATAAAAAAATAAATAAATGAAAGCCATGAAACTAATAGTGGACATGAAAACAATAACAAATAAAAAGTTTAAATGGTTAGAGTTGATCTGCCAGCTGTAAAAGTTTCTTGTAGCTCAATTGACATAATAGTTGGTATAGTTAATCAAGCATCCAGAGGCAAAGAGTTACATTAAAGTCTTGCCAAAAACTTATTCTTTATTTCCAATTAGCATTATTTACAGATGGTCATAGGCTGACAGTTTGAATAGTTGCAATAAAAAGTTACCCAAGTTAGTGGGAAGAAATACTGGTAAAAAATTAAGAAATAAATATGCAATTGGAACAATGTTTCTGTCTGAATTTCTGAGATGAGGAGTTATTTACAGTTGGACTTACATCCTGATCCTTCTCATTATCACAACATTTCAGCCATTCTCTCTGCCAGTCTTCTTCAGGTATCTGTTGATTGGGTTAACCTTCAGAGAATCTTGCACTGAACCCTTTATTTAATCTACAGAAGTGGAGTGTTCTCATTCCACTGTCCATGTTTAGGGAGATTCCATCTTGCCCACTTTTTAGTACCATGCATTTATTGCTTCCTCTTTTTCCAATGACTGAAATTTGTTTCAGGGTTCATTTTGAAATTATCAGGTTACTTGGATCAACAGATACCTGAAGAGTAGCACAACAACCGAAATATTGATAACAACAAAGATGAGGACATTAGTTCAAATATAAATAATGATAAAAAAAAAAACAACTTATATATTGTATTGAAATGGAATACTCAAGCAAACTAATCAATGAACTCTACTGTTTATCCAATCTACAGGTTTATATATTTATATTATCATCTCTGCATTTTGGTCATTGTGTCTTTTGACCTTCTTCAGGTGTCTATTGATCCAAGTAACCTTTATGGAATTTCAGACTGAACCCTTTCTTTAATCTACATGGGTAGAGTGTTCTTGTTACACTGTCCATGTCTAGGGATATCTCATTTTGTTCTTTTTTTTCAGTATTCCACAGTTATTGCTTGCCCCAATTTCCAACAAGTTTCAATCCATACTACCTGGACTAATGAATGACTTCAATTATTATGCTACCAAATTCACAAATCACTGTTTTTAATCCATGAGGCTACTGTTCTGTGAGACAATCCTGAAAAAAGCCAGGCGATATATTGGTTGAAATGTGATAAGTTTGTTTTAATAGGAGTAGATAGGTTCATCTATTGTCCCATTTACACTCCTCCCTAGTCTTTTGAACAGGGGTAGAGGTTTATCCCTAGTTTCTTGCTTAGGAGTGAATTTCTGGTTCCTTTTAAATTCTACTTCAACTATTCTTCTAACATCTCCACCTAAACTCTGAAAGTTATAAAATTATTGGGTTTCCAGTTCCTTTTAAAGTTTTTTTCCTTCTCTTTCACTTCCAGTAGCCCCTTGCGTCTTAGTGGCATTATTGCCTTGCTTGAGGTTAAATGATTAAAGAAAAAAAAAAAAGGAATTTCATTAGAGTTTGATTCCTATTAAATATCATCTTTAGTAGACTAAAAATAAAGGGATTTTGATATGCCAATCTGACTTTAAAAAAATCTACCTAATGAGACTTGTGCATCAGGGAATGCAAACCTTAATTTTAAAACTTTGATGATACCTTTCATAGCCAGACCGTGTGTGTGTGTGTGTGTGTGTGTGTGTGTGTGCACGCGCATTACCTTAAACATGGGTCTGACATGCTCCAAGTGGGTAGCACTGGTAAAGCTGGATGGTACGTGGCTGACACTCTCCATGAGGGCACGCGCTGTCTGGGCCATTGTTTCCATCTCCATGTTGTACAGCAAACGGCGCTGTTTCTCGCTGATTAAGTCTTCTGCAAGCAACAAGTATAGCAAAAATTTGCTCAAAATGAAATACATTGTCATCAAATGAAGCCACTTCAATCACACAATTCCCTCAAAAATGCAATGTGAAACAGACACACCATAACTTATACATTTTCCTGGGCAGACACACACAGTCCAATATTATATAGTGCTTCCAAGTGAAACTTGTTTTATTTTATAAAAAAAAAAAAAAAACTTATTAGTCCATAAAAATGTTTAGTGTACAAAATGGTAGCAGAAAATTACCAGACCAAAATCTCCTGGTAGACTCCATAAATTCCAATTATGTGAAAAAGCTAGAAATGATGGATTCTTTGGCAAAACTCCTCACAGGTTTATTGATTTCTTCTTCACAGCTTATCAAGCCTTTGCAGGTTATTTAAAGCCAGAAGATATTTTTAGATTGTAAGAATTTATTGGAGATAATGATTTTCTGATACAAATTCTATTTAACCCATAGCTGGGGGAGAAGAGGTTGATTCCTACCTTTCCCAAAGGTATTTGTGCATAAGTGAATATAATGAACTTGACAAATTCAAACATGGCTCTCCAATTTCAAGCCATTATCTATAACACTACTGGCACATCCAAGCTTACAGTACTTGGTATTCCCAAGTGGTCACCCATCTAGGTACTGACAAGGTTTGACATTGCTTAACTTTGGTGATTGTATGAGAACTGGAAGTTTCAACATGATGTTTCAACATGAGTAAGCACTCTTCATAGAAGAGTTCATATTTTTTTTATATTTTTTGGCATTTTGTCAGTGCTAAACACTCATCTGGAACTAAGATGTGACCAACCTTGAAATACTACTACTCAAAAACCTGTTGAACCTAAAGAATGTCTCACAAAGCATTTTGAAGTTCTCAATAGCAGAATTGCAGAGCTTTAGGCAAAATTTGTTGCTGGCACATTGCTCAGATTTGTCAGCAATTGTAAAGATCACTGAGCAAAGTGCAAAAATCTGCATAATAATAGACACAGTATTATATCATGCATGGGCTTCCATACTAACACACTAGAAACCAGAACAACATGATTTATTAATAACACTAATAAAAGGCTAGTAAATCAACACAATATAATAAAAATACACCACAAAACAGGTAATATTGTATGCAACTGTATTTCTGCATTGGTTTGGATTGATTGATTTGTTTTCTATAGCTTATCAACCCTTTGCAGGTTATTTAAAATCAGAAAATATTTTTAGATTGTAAGAATTTTTTTTATTTTGTTGATAATAATGATTTACTGATACAAGTCTGAATAAACAAACCTATCACTGGGAGGAGAAGTGGTGGATTCATATCTATCCCAAGGGCATTTGCATGTAAGTGAATATAACGAACCCAACTGGAATTGGAATTCAACTTTGATTAACCTGTTCCGAACCATTATCCATTACACCCACTGCACATCCAAACTTACAGCATCTTATATTTCCAAGCTGTCACCCATCTAGGTTTTGGTCACGCTTGACCTTGCTTAACTCAGATGATTGTGACGCCCACCAGTGGTCACGGTCGCAGTCCAGCGCCAATATGTGACATCCACTGGTCGCGATGTCAATATATGACAGTGCGCTGTCAGCCCGTAGTCAACTCCCAGTTGCGGCGCAAAGCTCTAAGGTTTCTTCCACCAGCGTTTTGGGGTCAACTCCTTGTCGCTGTCACCAGCCTGTGTTCCAGTCGATCTGGTCATTTCCGGTTCGATACCAGCTTTGTCGTTCTCAGCTCACCCCCAATGCCTGGTTACCAAAGTAACTGCTTTGATCTCAAGTCTAACCTACCCACATTGTGATTTTGATCTTAGGTAGACAAAATCAATCAGGTGTCGGGCTGTAGTGCAAGCTGAATCCAGGGTAAAGGTGATACCATACAAGTGTAAGTAAAAGAAAAATAATAAAACAAACTCACAAGGTTCAAATATGTTGAGAAATAATAAATAACTATCTATCTGTTGAATACAATCTTAAGTCGTTCGTCAATAAAAACTTGCTTTTAGTAGGAAGACTAAGTCGAAAAGGACATGGAAATCTTTCAGTCAGCTTCTGTGAGGCAACACTGACTCTGTAATTCTGACCGTGTCTGGCTCTCTGCCGAAACTCTCTGATCAGCTGTCTCGAGACGTTTGTTTATATGGACACCAACCAACTCCAGGTTGTGGCCTGTCGTGGTTTGGGTTCTTTGACAATTCTTAATTCTCAACAAAAATTCTCTTTGTTCTTAGGCCAGGAAAATTAGTTACTTCCCATTTTTGGAAGATTAATCACTTTCCACTTCGGGGTTCCTCCCTCATCTGTGAGGGAAGGTCAGAGTAGAATTATTCTCCTCGACTCTTCCACTCTTACATTGGTGTTAACAACTTCTCCGTCTTTCTCATACATTCACTGCCACCTATTACCCATGCTACTTCTTAGCCAATGATCTCTCGGCAGTGTGGGTGTGGCTAGACTGGCCCTCATGTTTACAAAATCCCTTTTTTTCTTTTCTTTTTCCTTTGGCCAAAACATTTACAATTCCCAGATTGCCATTCAATTCCTTATCACATTCCAAATCCAGTTTAGTGAACTTTTAACTGGGTGGTCATGTTTACCTGATAATTAAATTCATTATTTTTCTCATGTCTTAAAATTCTCTTATCACCAGATACCTATTTTCAACAACATTGCGTCTGATGTCAACAGTTTGAAAAAAAAAAAAACAATAACACTTTCATCCGCGATTTCCTTTCTCATGCCAAGATTTGTACATACACCAGATGGCTTCCCTCGCTGGAATCAGGAATTAGAGTCAAATGATATCTCTGAAAGATAATTAATAGCTATTCTCTAGGGTGGTCTCAAGCTGAAATTTTTTCATGGCCACATGCATCGGCCGACTTTGTTTATCTTTCAGAATTCTGTTTCGTTTGACACGTCACTCCCTTATCGCGACATTAATTAACTTGACAGAATCACAGTCTCACTCCTTCTTACTGATTTTCTGTCTTTTGCAAAAAGTATCTTCCTTTTGTAAATAAAATAAATTCTTCTTTTTTTTAATGTCGCTCAGTCTATCTTTCGGTATAGCTGTTTCTCGCCTTAAGTATTTCCCGTTTTTAATTTCTATGGTTAATTAGTTAGCCAGTTATCATAGCTAAATAGTGTCACATGAGAAAAGGTATTTCAATGTGAAGTAGTCATAAGACACACATTGGTTTGAAAATAACACAGATACTAAGGAATGACATTTCACAATATCTTGTGTGTGCGCACATGTCACCATCAGGCAATATAAGTTTTAGAAAGACATAAGTAATACCCACAGCAACAAGAGCCTTAATGAAGTTTAAAGAAAAAAAAAAAAAAGCGAAAACCTATAGATTACTGACTGAAATATAGTAAGAAGAAAAAAAAAAGAAAGATTTATACAAAGAAACTTTTAAGAGCATTAATTCTTCCTGACAAAAATATTTAACTTACTTGTTGATTTAGTAGGTTTGTGTGATCCTGTGGTTTTCATTTTAATTTCATTGCCAGCAATTTCATCGTAGATCGAAGATAGATACTCTTCCGGTAGGTCCTTACTGTCATTAATGCCTCGATTCATTTTAATGTACTGTTCCTTTGTAATTTTGTGCTTGACTTGAGAACTGTGCAGATCTGTGGTCAACATAATGATGGAGTAGGCTAACACATAGGCTGTGTCAGCACTGGCAAATAGTTCAGAGCTGAAACAAAAACACATGTCATTAAACATAAGCTCAGGTTTTAATTTCTTAAAAATAGTACACTTCCCCTATTCACCAAGCTGGTAATTTACCATCATTTATTTCCTTCTTTTAAAAAGTCCGCAGAATTTATTTTCATCAAGAAACATTTTCAAAAACAATCTACTAAAATCATATTCAAGTACATTTTTTTTAAGTCCAGATATTAATTTTTGACCAGTTTTGGCTTACTGTTACTTCAAAGTTTTAATATGAGTACACTCTTCGATTGTTAAAGTAGAAAGTACAAAATCTGGGTAAAATAAAAGATTCAGATGACACTTAAACTCCTATCTCCAGGGTCCATCCTGACATGGCCAATGCTTTAACCAATTCAGTCATGGAAGCCCTATGGTTAGACTGGACTCAAATTTCTAAGTGCTAATTCCATTTCTTCCAATTCTTTATGCTAAACCATTTATTATTTGCAATTTAAATAGCATGACACATTATCAAGAACCAATTGAATTAGTTGCATATCATCAATATCCATAATGGAACGTGTTTACGAATTGTTTAAATTTAATTTTTATACAAAAACAAATTTTTAAAAGGTGGAACAAAAAAAAAAATTAAAAAGATGGTGTCTGGCCTCCAAAGTAAAAGAGAGACAAAGTCACCCCGTCTGAAAATTAGTAAATCCAAAACAGAATAATTTCCATGCCTGAGGATGACTGTATGTACAGTTGAAAGTACTAGCAGATTAAAAAAAGACCTTATACAGCTTGTAGTTATTAAAAACAAGGATCATAACATTCATCGAGTGGTTTGTAGGTTAATGCAACTTTAAAATTTTGTTTGCAAAGAGTTTGCCATTTTATATCATTAACTTTACTAATCTAATTTTTGTATGAATGATTCATTGTAATATAAATTGAACTGCACCACATATTTGAGATTATATATATATATATATATATATATATATATATGATAAAGAAAAACAGTAAATGTTTATCAATTTAACATGTTTCACTTTTATTTAAACTTCATCAGAAAATGAAATATAGGGGCAGAGAAGATAATTCTGGTATTTTTATATTTTTTTTAGCTTGTTAAGTAGACCTCATGTGTGTTTGTCTCATTCAGTAGAGTAGCATTTGTTTGTATAAATCATGTGTATATACAGTGGTGGCATCCTACCAGTTTGCTCAAACAGATTCTTAAAATTATAAAAGCTTAGCAAACCAGTTGTTGGATTATCAAAAAATAATCTTATATATTAATATCCGATGGTCTATGTAAACTGTTAACTATGCTCACCCATGTGCCTAATAAAAGTCTCATAGACACACACCACCTACCATTTTGAATTTAAAAATATAGCAAATCTTGTCAAATTTAACAGGTGTTCCATTGGATCTTTGAGATTGCAGTGATTCACTTCAAATGTAGCTAAGAAACCATAACACATCTGATGACACTAGAGTCAAAAAGCATCATAATTCTGAATAGAAATATGATGTGAATAGAATTTAAATCTGGAAATAATAAATAAATGTTTTATATTAAATTACAAAATGGCTTAATTCTTTTTGATATTATAAAGTGATTTCTTTCCATTCTCAGATTGGAAAGAAAATAAGCAGAATAGGTTCCTAAAGATTACCTGCTTTTATAGAACTGGTTCCTGGAAATTTAGGATGCCACCACTGTGTATATATGTATCAAAATTCTATTTGTCTGTGCGGGGAATCATTTGAAAATATGTGTACATATGTGTGCATTTAGTGGGCATTTTTATTTCTATCAGGTAAAAGTCTATGTTCTTGATTGGGAGAGGAGTTTTATGTGGGAGTGAAAAAGATTTTGGTTACACCAATTATGGTTGTAGGAAAATTGATCTTTGATTAAGTATGGCTTTTATAAAAGTTGGTGATATAAGAAAGTGTGTTTGGCATGTATTTATCGATAGGAAGATATTTATCAGAATTCCTTC